TTTTGTGTTTCAGCTATCCCGAAAAGACTTGCTTGAAAATAGTAAAAAAAAAAAAAAAAAAAAAAAAAGAAAAAATCTCATAAAATAATCTAGAACAATCCATGTCTCTTAATATCAGAAAATAGTCAATATTTGTAACATGTTTACGGTGCCATATGCTAACTACATTCAGTCCATGCACCACTTTTGAAATGCCGATTTTTTTTTCTATTTCTTTTCTTTCCTTATTTTAGTGAGTAGGGATACCCCCACCTTGTCTTCTTCGTTTATACCTCTATATGTCTAATTGCATGCGATGAGAATTGGGAATTCTAATCTTAATCTTCGCCGCCTAAGTATAATGAAAGAGTTAAAGTAATAAGTTTACTGGCGTTATTTAAATAAGGTTTTTGACTGGGTCACTGTGACATCGACCTGAATAGAGTGCGATGTGTGGTAGCTGATGGTCGACAAAGTCCAAGTAAAATAAATTATAGTCGACGGATAGCGAATATTTGTGTTTCGAGAAAAAAAGGAGAGCTGGTAATAATGTGACTACCACAAATCCATAGTACTGAGAAACTGAATAAAGGATCTACTTGGAGTTATGAAGTCGATCCCCAAAGGAGCTCGACTTAGCAAAAACTGATTGGTTAAAAGAAAGATTTTTGAGCTCTGACCAGACAGTGATGTGGAAATCGGATCCACATGATGAAATCAAACTCTCATCCTTGACTCTAAGCAGAACCCTGCCACGCAGCATTTGAATCTTCTTCTTTTATGTGCCATATATATTCAGAACGTAGGCGATCATGGCCCTCCACTTCGCCCTATCCCTTGTAGTTCTCAGTATATTTTGTCCTTTTGTTATTTTTCCAAAACCCTGTTCTGTCATCCACTTGCTTACCCCCGGCTAGGTATGTCAAGCGTTGCTTTCCCTTGTCTATCTTTCCCTCTATTCGACCTGTGAGTATCAGATTCTCCAAGCCGTCCTTTTTCATTACGTGTCCCATAAATTTCAGCTGCCTCTTCCTGATGTTAAGTATAAGCTTCCTCTCCAAGACCTCATCGTTGCTCACATGTTCGTTTCATGGTATCCTTAGCATCCTTCTGTAGAACCATACCTCCGTTGCATCAAGTCTCTTCTTCATCTTTGAGGAGACCACAGAAAAAATACTCCGCTGACTAGTGATGCGATCAACTCATAACATACCTCACAGCATTACGTGTAACACAAATGAATCCCTGTTTTTTTTTTGGGGGGGGGTAATTTTTGTAGGTAGTGTTGCTTACAAGTTCGTTTTGAGGGGTTTGTTTTTAGCATTTTTTTTTTTGTATAGTGTTCTTGTTTTGTTTTTTGTTGTTGTTTGTTTTTTTTCTTCTTTTGGGTTTTTTGTGGTAAGTCAAGGAATTCACGCCAGATTAAAATGTAAATTCTCTTATTAGATGACAGGCCAATTGAGGGCCGTGTCAGTGTGTCAGTGTGTCCCAGTTAAAAGCGTCTCGGTCATTAGTGACTCTGAGTATTTGTGTCCGTATTTTCCCTGTTCCGGTCAGCTGCTTATAAAAGTAGGAATTTATGGTCAATAGAAATTAGCAACACTGTTTTGGGACATAATTTCAGATTGGGCGTTTCTTCCCTCTACACCGGTTTCTTTTGGTATTTTTCGTGGTTCTCTTCCCTGTATCTGCTTCATCGTTCGTTCCGTCTGTCACAATTGTACATACAGTACGATGTTCCCCTAGAGAAGATCTCGCTCATCTCCGCGATGGTCTACTTAGGGAATCACCAACCACTCGCCCGGATGATAGACATACCAGACATACGGACACCTCAGAATGGAGCAGTAACACATCCGGATGTCTCTCCTCGATTCCATCCAACTGCGCTAATATTATATACAGTTGCTAATGAACCAATTTCTTGTGGGACAACAAAGAAGAAGGGTCACCTTTGACGGAACGACGTACTCGCTTTCCCTCAAATTGAAGTCCTGCATGTCAGACAAAGATTATTCGACATTTTCATTACTTCAAACGTTATTAGCGTTTTTTTCCGGCTTACATAACGGCGCAGCATGGAAGACGCACCCTAATATTGGAAAGAAATTTCTAATACAAAAGAAGTCATTCTCATACAACAAAACATTCACCATGCGTACCTCACATACTGGCGCCACGTATTGTTTACATTAATCACTCGTCCGATTTTCTTTGTAAGGCAATGACATACTAGTCAAGAGCAGAAAGGCTCTTGCCACTGCTAGAAAACATAGCATGCTTAAGCTTGTGGCTCGGCTCCAGGAAGGTTTATAGTCTTGGAAATAGTTATAACAGCTAAGTACTGAGGTTACATCATATAAAAGGCTGAACTAGATAGATAACTAACATTATAGTTGTTGTGGATCCCGAGATGAAATTCGGTCTCCAATGAATGACAAACACAAGAATTAAGGATAAGAAATTAAATGTATTTACACAATAATACAATAGCTAATACTGTTAGTAAATCCAGGAACGCGGTTAGTAGCAATATATATATATATATATATATATATATATATATATATATATATATATAGAGAGAGAGAGAGAGAGAGAGAGAGAGAGAGTCTCGAAGTAGGACTTCCTTAGAGTCTACGTGCTTGTAACTGAGACTTCTACAAGCGGTTACCTCACACTATTACTCTACCTCCAACTCAATCACAATGTCTGTCTTCCTCTCACTCAGTCTATCTCTATATTCTGACTCTGGGTATTTAACGGCAGCAGTCCAAGTAACACTCTGGTCGAGTCCACTTATATGAAAAAGGGGAGGACCCCATAACAATAGTGTAATGACTCAACATACAAATCCATGTCTCTATCAGTCAAGCCAGTTAGGTAACCGTCCAAGCTTACTTGAGCCTGGGCGTTGCCTTAAATTCGTCTTGGAAGACGCACACGAATTTTTCAGGGTATTTTTTAGGAAAAAATGCGTCTTGTAAGCTGGAAAATACGATATTCCGGTGTTTTATTTTCTGTCGTTTGTTAAAACACTTCCCAAAATGGATGGCAACCAATCTAATAGAAGGAAAACTCTGAATTCAAATCGTGGAAAAAGCAACCCGAAGCCGCTGCACTGTCCTTCTCAAGAACTGATGGTAAATCATAAATAATGAAGAAAAGGAAACTGCGGATATCCGTAACTGCCTATGTTCTGAAGAGGCATGGCATTGAAAACAAGCAAACAAAAAAACATCGAATTTGATACAGACGCCCCATTTTTATATTATTAAACAGTGTGTCAGCCTGAACATTCGAGAAATTTTAGTAAAGAGAATACGTTCCCCAGCAAGGATCGAACCTGCGTCCTCCTTTATAGGGGAAAACCACGTAAGTCATAGCTAGAAAAGTTCCTCTGTTTTTAAGGAAAATACATGCCATCGATCCCTGTTGAGGTTACGCATTTTTATTACTAAAATTTTCAAATTTATCTCATCACAATTTTCCATATTACTTTTTTTTAATATTACTTTAAAAGAATATCTCCTTTCACTTCCTTTTATTCTGTAAATTCCATCGTCTACACTAATTAACTGCCACCCTACGCACAGATTTAGTGATTAGTTTTTTTAAGTTGATAATGCTTAATAAATTTTCTCGGAAATATTGGTCGAAGCGTAATGGGTCTGACGATAAACTACATCCGGCAGCAAGGTCTCTGATCAGGAGGTTCTGAGGAGAGTGGAACCACCCCTTAATTGCTGTTGTTCAAAGGTCCACACTGACTCGGGGTGGTAGCACTTGTTAGGGTCCCAGCTATGGGCAAATATTAACCCCCGCCCCCAACAAAAAAATATGAAAGTATAAAAATAGATTTTTATTGTAAAAATACCAGTAATAATTTTTTTAAATACCAGCAATGGATTTTTGAAACAAAAATATTACCAGCAATACATTTGACTCTCAACAAAAAACCCTCTTTGCAAAAATATGTCAATAAAACCTGATCTACAAATTGATTTCTCACAAAGTATACATATTCTGTTCATATAGACCCATCCTAAAAATCTTGTCGGCATTAAATAACCCATTGTGGTGTTGATATGCCGTAACATGAAATAAACCAAATTAACCAAACTAGTCTGAAAATAATGTTTGACAATGATTTGAGATATATATTAGAATTTATATTCAATAATATTTTTATATTACTACAAAAAATATATTCATGTCTGACAATGCATTATCTAATATAGGGAACATTGCAAATGCTAATAATGGCGGAATTTCTAGTTTAAATGGTTTATCTATAATTCCCTCTTTTTGTGTCTCTCACCTTTCTTCCTCTCTTTGTTTGTATTCGTCCCCCCCTTTTCTTTCTCTCTCTCTCTCTCTCTCTTTCTTTCGTTCTCCCATACTTTCTCTCTCTCTCTCTCTCTCTCTTTCTTTCACTCTCTCACTTTCTTTCACTCACTTTCTCTCTCTCTCTCTCTGCGTCCTTCCATTTCCTTTCTCTCTCTCTCTCTATCTTTCTTTCTTCCTCTCACTTTATCTCTCACACGTTCTCTCTACCTCTTTCTCTTTGTCGCTCCCTTTTCTTTTCTCTTTCTCTCTCTCTCTCTCTCTCTCTCTGTTGTTCGTCCGCGTCCCTCCCATTTCTTTCTCGTTCTTTTCTCTATTTGTATGCGTCTCTCCCATTCTCTCTCTCTCTCTCTCTCTCTCTCTCCTTTTCTTACCCTCTTTCTTTCTACAAAATATATTAGTATTTTTCAACCATTTTCCAGTTACTGACATGTTTTGGTGACCTTATGTGGCTGAGATTCCTCGTGGGCACAAAAGGTCATTGTTCGAGTCCTCGCTAAAGATCAATGACAAAGAATGCTGATTTTCAAGGCAAACAGTCAAACGAGCCCCAATTTAAAGACAGATCTTTCCAATCTTCTTGTGCTGTATTTAGTAAATATCAAACATTTCCCCAATGGCCTCAACCCATAGACGAAAAGAAACTGAAATAGATTTTTAGTCCTTTCCTCCTTTTAGAAAAGGAATCGATCAGCCATCTTCTTTTTCGGCGGCTTACGAAAAGAATGCATGAAAAAAGGGCCATATTTTTCCGCTTGAACGCTTCTTCGATTACCATTCCTGCAAGAAAAGGATTCTTCCACGATGCAGTGTATCGTAGAAAGAACTGCGTGTATATCAAAGATTAACTCTGTTTCGTTTCGTCGGGTACAAGATCACCAGTAAAATGTGTTCAACTCATTTGATATGTACTTAGCTTAACCTGGCATAAGGTCACCAGTAACGAGCACTCAGGGAAAATCGAACTGACTACAGGAGTAATGAGCTGTTCCGCTAATTTGCTAACCATTGCATTAGGGCGAGGCGTTCAGTGTCAGGAAATCTTATTTTTATTATTCCCAATTTTTTTCTTGTGTGATTGTTAAAGCTGGCAATAAGGGCAACGCCTTGTTAAGGCTCTTTACCAAGTTCCCCTCATCCACAATTTTCCATCAGCTGTCGTGGCATACAAGTAACGAGCCACCTTGTTAAGGGAGAAGTGGATTCAGGACTTGCCCAAGATAGATAGATACATACATACATACGTACATACATACATACATACAGAGATAGATACATACATTCATACAAATACACATACATAGGTAGATATATATATAGATAGATAGATACAGATTTACATATAGTGATAGATAGATAGATAGATAGATAGATAGATAGATAGATAGATAGATAGATAAGCAGAATGAGATAGATAGAGAGATAGATAGATAGATAGATAGATAGATAGATAGATACAAAAGAGAATTATAGAAATTGATAGAAACAAAGAAAAAGATATAGGTAGATTTTAACAACTGCATACCTGTCAGATACGTTATATATATATATATATATATATATATATATATATATATATATATATATATATATGAATATAATCAAATAAATATAAATAAATGTACATGCATGGGTATTATGTATTATATATATATATATATATATATATATATATATATATATATATATGTATGTATGTATGTATGTATATATTTCAACGCAATTATAGTGGGCACTTCTGTATTTGAAATAGACGGTATTATGTATTTCTTAAACAATGTATCATCTATCGGCCTACGCAGTTGAGAAAATCTTAGTAAAGGAGATATGTTCACTGGCAACCTTGCGCCTTCCTTTAATAAACAAATAAAATGGGGCGTCTGTTTAAAATACGAAGTGTCTACTAACTATAATAACGTTTGAATTAATAAAAATGTCGGATTAATGCATTAATGTTTTTGAAAGAGATCCCACCAGTGTTTCGTGAATACCTTTTTTGTTGTATGTTGTACAAAATAAATAAGAATTAATAAATACATTTAAACTTGCACGCTTTATATAACAAGTGACTTATTTTTATTATAAATTATAAAAAAAACTCAAAGAATATGTACTTGAGATTCGAATTTACTAGCGCATCTTTTGTTAGTAGATTTTAGGAGGCCCAGTTTAATTTGATTCAGAACAAATCTTTAATGCTGGCGTATCCTGAGTGCTGAACTTATATTGAACGCGGGGGCGTACGTTAAAAATTTGTTCAACGTGTAACATCGTCAATGTGTTTTTTGTTTTTTTTTTTTTTTCGAGCAGAGAAAGAGAATTCAAATATAATGGCTGTGATAGATTCATATGATGAGGGTGACACATGATAGATTGACAGATGATAAAGCAATTAATAATTAATGAGTAGCAGTAATTATTAACAGTTAATAATACTAATGCTGGTAGTATCAATAATAAAGGTTAGTGTAATAATAATTTCATTACGAGTAGTAGTAGTAGTAGTAACATTGAGCACAATAATAGTAATAATAATAATAATAATAGTAAGACTGGGGATGATAATAATAATGTTGATGATAGTAATAATAATTATAATGATAATAATAATAATAATAAGGTTGGAGATGATGATAATAAGTAGAAGAAAAATTAAGATTCGGGATTATGATGATAATAATAATAAAGTTAGGTGGTGGTAATAATAATAATAATTATGATGATGATAATAATACTAATAATTATGCTAATGGTGATGATTATAATAATTATAAAGTAATAAGGTTGGTGATGATGATGATAATAATAATAAGGTTGGAGGTGATAATAATAATAATAATAATAATAATAAGGTTGTTGATGATGATGATGATGATGATAATAATAATAGTAATAAGGTTGGTGATGATGACAATAATAATAATGATAATAAGGTTGGTGATGATGATGATGATAATAATAATAATAATAATAAGGTTGGTGATGATGATAATAATGATAATGGTGATAGTAAAAATAATTATTATATTTTCAGTGGGTATGCGTGTGGTTTAATGGATAAGTTAGTTATGTGCTATGCGTGATACACGCTTAGGCGATACATGACTTACGAGGCAGATATTTTTCCCGCAGTAGTTTGCCATTTCTTTCTGCAGTAGACCAGTTACCATCAAAGGCTATAGAACCCGGTCTGTCCTGCTATTTATCCATAGCTGGTGGGAGAAGAAAAGGATTCATACCTTTCCAAAAGGTATTAGCACGTAAGTAAATGTAACTGGAATTCGAACTCGGCTCTCCGATTCCTCAATCTGAGAATTTATCGGAATTAGAAATCAGAGAGCCGAGTTCGTCCTCCTCTCAGATTCGTTATATTCACATAATAGCTGGCCACTCGTATTCGAGGATACCCATCTATTAGGACGGCTAGCCAATCCCTATTGCAGACTCTCACTCAGGCACATCTCTGTTCGTTCAACACCCACAGAGCCAACCTGTGGTTTATACTGTAACTATGCTGAGCAGACCTTAGCTACAGTTTCTGGGAGAGAGCATTTTACCTAGAATGATTAACAATCTAAACCACACCAAACCCTCGGTCACGATGACTTGTGACATCGTGCTAGTACAGCTATCGACAGTCCCCCAAGTGTTCCGTCTACCCAATTTCACTCACAAGGCTTGGGTCAACCCGTGATATGTTTTTCAGGCACTTTCCAAAGGTGACGCACGCTGGTAACGTTCCCCCTCCAGACCGATAATATCAGGAAGTCTCCTTCCTGACAAATCGACCCGGGTCTCATGGTCAGAAAGCGAACGTTCTAACCACTCGGTCACACGCCCATATATTCACATACGCCCAAATATACTACCTTTGGGAAAGGTATGACTCCATCTCCTCTTCCCCAACTAAGGATTAAATAGTAGGACATGTAACTGGAAAAAACTTTGTTACTCTCTAAAATTGTTAATGCAATATTCACTGGCAAAAAAATGTTTTGGTTTTTTTAAATAAATAAATAAATAATATATATATATATATATATATATATATATATATATATATATATATATATATATATATCAAAGTAGACGATAAAATGTAAACTTATGATAATCAGTTAGATAGCAATTCGGTTGAAATTAACTGAAATATAACAAACAATTCACTTTTCTTTTAAAATAGTAGCAAATTGGATATTTTTATACTAATCACCAACTCCGGGGAGAGGGGGTTATTTCTGTTGGATAATGTAAAAAAAATAAATAAATAAAAATTGATTCAGTTCATTAAATAAAATTAAACTTTTTTTTTGTTTACATATTTTTACCTCCCCTCCCACAACTTTGTATCTTTCTCAGGAAAGATTTACTCTAGGTGCCTTTTGCAGTTTTCTACAGACTTTTCTTAAAATTTGGAAGAACTAAATGAAATGGTAATCTGAAGTTTTATTATCATCTTTTAAACTCCAAAAATATTTTGAAAGTGATGTATTATTTCTGTAAGTACTATTGGTGAAGGACAAGATATGTCAATACCACCTAGTCTTGAATCTTAAAAGAATTCTTAGTACTACCAATATAGAATTTTTCAACCGTCGGATTCTCTATTGTAGAGATAGTACAAAGATAAACAAGAGCTTTAGTTAAACATTTGTTTGGCAATGAGCATTGCACAGAATTCCTACAATTACATTGGCCAGTATCATTAATAATATTTTTCCTTGTTGGAACTTGTATTATGATCCAGATTATTAAATTGGTTTAAAATTTTATTATTGTCTTTATAAGCTTCTCAAGATTATTAGTGCAGGTATCACTGATACGGAGCACTTTTACCCATAAATATACCATATCTATATTTTTATCATATATATATATATATATATATATATATATATATATATATATATATATATATATATGTGTGTATATATGTTCATATGTATATATATATGTATATATATGTTTATATATTTGAGTATGTGTGCATAAATGTGTGTATATATGTGTGTATATATGTATATGTATGTGTATATATGTTTCATAGATATGTGTATTGCGTATATGTTTATATATTTATATATATGTATTTTTATATATATATATATATGTGTGTATGTATGTGTGTATATATGTATGTGTATATATTTGTGTATATATGTTTATATGTATATATGTATATATGTACACTTATTGTTAGGTTTTCTTTATCCTGTTTTCCTTAGCCTAATATATATATATAATAAAACTATATCAACTTATATGATTAAAATATGTTTTTATGATATTTTGGTTTTATTTTCGTTTTAATATTAAATATGTATCATTTTTATTTGTATATTTGCTCGCTTATGTTATATTTTAATGTGATTTGTTTAATGATATATAAATATTTATTGGTTGTGGTATATCAATTTGTGGATACATGTATTTATGTATGTATGTGTGTGTATGTGTGTATGTTGTTTCCCCGTTTCTTTTTTTTCATAAAGGGCTGTGGAGTGTTCCTGTCTGTCGCTTTTTGTGCGTATATATATCTAAATATGTGTGGGTATATGTATATAACTGATTGTGTCTTTTTTGTTGTTTTATGACGATTAAAAAGTGAAATGACCGGATATTCTAGCGTCTGTTGTTAATTTCAACGAAGAAATAAATTCAATCATGTCAAATTGGAATAAATTCTTTTTATTACCCGTATTTTAAAGATCCATGTTATACTTGTGTTTTGATTGGTAATTCTAGCTTTTGCCAATGTTTTCCCTTAAAGGATCGTTATTAATTTAAAACTATTTTAAAACCATTTATTTTATATTCAACATCATCACTTGATAAGACACCGAAGATGTTGAAACAAAATGGCTATTTTTGTAGTGATTTTATAACTTATTTTTTTTTTTTTTGATTAAAATATGTTTTTACTCTTTTTGATATTTGTGGTTTTGGAATTTTTCGTTTTAATATATATATAAATGTTAATATTATATTTTTAACCAGTTTTTATCAAATTATTTGGTATATTTGCTTGAACAGAAAAATATAAAACTGCATAAATCTAAGCTATTATTTTATGAAAATTTTAATATATTATGGACACTTCATTCATTTCCATGAATTTTTTTAATGATTTTTTTTTTTTATTTTAAGTCTTAAATATTTATTGGTTGTAGGGTATCATGATATTGCTGTTAAACAAAACCTGTATTTCAATGTCTGGAAGTGCACTATAATTGTGACATTATTTTTAAAAAGAATTTTATTTTTATCGGTGTCTATGACATTATGAAAATAAATGCAGTAACTATAGTAAATTTAAAATTTCATTTTCAAACATTTAAAAAAAAAAAGGTTTTGTGTGTGTAAAATTCAATAAATATTGGTTAAATAATTTAATTTCTAAAGATGACTGGCTTTTTATATAAATAAGGGTTTCCGTTGTATTCGCCATGGAATTTTCCTCCTTAGTCAGGCTGTCGATAAATATGTCAACAGATCATACAAATAGTCACCTTTGTTG